ATATCCGAAAATGAAGTATCTGATTAAGTATATTTTATTTCATTTGAAAAATTTAGTGTAAAACAAATGGTACTTCAGCTTTAATAGTATAGATTCATTCGCTTTCACGATTAAAGAAACAAATATAGAAAGTACTCCTAATAAAAAAAACATCAATTAAAAAAGTTAGACTTGGACTAAATAATCAAAACAATACAATAATAAAACAAAAAAATTTATAAAAAAAAACTCAATTAGAACTTCTAATGGAATCACAAAATCATAAGTGAATGATAAGCATCTCAGAAAAAGCAAATACACCAAAATCATATTATCAGAAAATAAATTACAAAAATCTAATTAATTAGAGCTACAAATTTAAGCCTATCAATTCAACTATATTGTATACTAATGTTGTGGTGGAGACCCTTTATTTATAGTTAAATTGTTAGGCTAACTTTTAGAATCTTTATTATTTAAAATTATGAATTTACTCGAAAATAAATATTCAAAATATTTTTCATATATCTTTTATTTACATATATCTTATATATTTTTTTTCCTTTTTGTAACAAATCTTAAAAATGAAAACAAATATAATTATAAATAATTTTAATTAGTGAGATGTCTATTCGTGATTGGTCGTTTAAAATCATATGTGGACGGCATTAGAAGAAATTAAGCCTAATTCAAATATATTGTATACTAATGTTGTGGTGGAGACCCTATATTTATAGTTAAATTGTTAGGCTAAATTTTAGAATCTTTACTATTTAAAATTAGGAATTTACTCAAAAAAAAATATTCATATATTTTTCATATATCTTTTATTTCCATATATCGTATATTGTTTTCCTTTTTCCAACAAAACTTAAAAATGAAAACAAATATGATCTTACAAAATGTTAATTAGTGAGATGTCTAATTGTGATTGGTTATTTAAAATCATTTGTGGACGGTCTTAGAAACTTATAGCTTCAACTTTTATATTGTATAGACTAGGTTATTAACCCGCGCTAGCGCGGGTATATTTATATAGATTGTTTTCAAATAGGTTTATCATATCATAAAATTTGCATTAATACTATAATGTTTGTTTTTCATTCTTTCAAGACAAATATTTTTCATTTATATTTAAGTATCATTTATTTACAAAAATATTTTTGATTAAAATAAATAAAAATTATATATATATATATAATGAAAAGAAAACTAACTACTTGAATTGTTCGTTGTGGACATCTTTGTCCTCTTACCATATCCTTTTTGGACAAAATCTCATCAAGATACTCACAATGGTCTCTATGGTATTCGATCCATACACACAAACTGTCTTATCACTCCTCTTTTCTCTTATCCTAATCCCAACAATGTGTCCTTCAACTTCTCATTCTCTCTTTTCTCATATTTTCCACGAACTTCTTCTCCATCTCTTCTTTCTCATTCTTCATCTTTGCCACACATTTCTTCGTAGTCAAAAGCATCTTTGTCAAATTAACCACCGTTTTCACATACCATTTGTGCTTCTCCTCAAGCCTTTTTGACAGAGATTATAATATGTTTAGTATTGTGGAATCCACTCTCTGTAATCTCTTTGACCATACCTCGATATGTTTCATTTGTTATTGGAATCTTCTCCACAAGCAATGCTTGACGTTCCTCAAAATTCTTACCTTCCTCAAAATGCTTACCTTCTATTCTCTTCAACTCTCACTCGTTCTCGGTCACACTTGTTTGGTTACTTATCCATCAAGCTCAGTATCTCCTCTTTTTCATCTCTACTTCATTACGTAAACTCTCTAGCTTTACTTCCAAATCTATAATGGTGGATTCCTTCGATGCAACATCTTTACCGGTCTCTTGCATTCTATTCTCTTTCTCCTCCATCGTCTTGTATTCTTCCAACATATCTCGGGATTAGTTGTACTCATCTATTGGTTTCTTCATTAATTGTTTTCTAAACAAATTATTATTCTGTTTGTGCTCTCGGTTCAGCGTCTTGTATCCAGCTTCTTCCCCTAACATTGTTTTCTGCACATCGTTTATCTTATAGAAAGTATTTATAAGAACTTAAGAGACATTCAAATTTATGGTTTTATTTTATTTACGATTTCTAGTAACACACAAAATAAGAAAAAATATATTTTCAAATGATACGACTCGCCAATATTACAACCAATATTGGCAAATTTACTTTTATTTGGAGTAAGACATGTAACTATTCTAGGGTTAACATTTATATCCAATATATTATATACTAAGATTGTAGGTTTCATATATTCCATATATTATTTTCCAGAAAATTATATTTCAAATTTATTATATTACCGTCTCCAAAATTTTTTTAAAAATAATATTTCTATTTTTCTATATATTCATTTCATTTTTGTTAATATATTTGTATAGAAAAAATTAGAATTTAAAAATGTTAGTTAATGAGATAGCAAAAATGTTAAATATTGAGATGTCAAATCCTAATTCGTCGTTTAAAATCCAATGTGGACGCGTTTAGGAGCTTATAGATCCAACTTTTATATAGTATAGACTAGGTTATTAATCCGCGCACGCGCGGGTATATTTATATCGATTGTTTTCAAGGAAGTATATAGTACCATATTATATACAAAAGTACTATAATGTCTCATTTTTTATTCGTTTAAGACAAATTCCTTCATTTATATTTATGTATCGTTATATTTTTTTATAAAAATAAATAAAAATTGTATCTAGATACTGAAAAGAAAACCAGTTAGTTGTATTGCTAGTAGCGATCGTCTTTGTCCTATTGCCATAACCATTTTGGACAAAACCTCTTCAAGATACTCACAATGGCCTCTATATATGTTGTTTGATACATACACACAACTGTCTTATCGCTACTCTTTTCTCATATTCTAATCCCAACAATGTTTCCTTCAACCTCTCATCCTAATCCCAACAATGTCTCCTTCAACTTCTCATCGTCACTCTTTCCTCTACCTTACATGACCTTCAAGCTTCTTCTCCACCTCTTCTTTCTCCTTCTTTATCTTTATGACCGGAAGTTGTGACGCTCGACACTCACACCAAATATGCTTTCCCGGTACATTCCTTCGACACATCTTCTCCAAATGCTCCCAAATGCTCCAAAAAGCTCCAATCCATTCCAAGTAGTTCCTAATCCTGAAATGACTCAAAAAGACTCGAAAACACTAGAAAAGCTCTATAAATAAGACTTATATCATGACCAAAAACCCGTAAAACCATGATATATCAACTCCCCCAGACTTAGCCTTTGCTTGCCCTCAAGCAAAACAGAAACTTAACCTGTGAAAGAAGTTTGAAAACGCGGGAACTCACTCAACTGTAGGAAACTCTTCTTTGCACTCTTCATCGCCTTGACTCTAGAACTTACTTTATGTACTTTGCCTATGAGAAGCATCAACATTACTTACTCTAATCCCATAATCCTCAGGAATCTCCTGTCTCTCCATTGTCATCTCTTTACATAATTTAAAACAAGTAAAGATGAATTCTTACCGAGGGAATATCGATCAATGGCATATGGACTCTTCTCGAACCAAGACATTCTTCGTATGATTTCACTTCTTCTCCCTTTTCTCACTTCTAAGGTAATCGACATCTCCCTACTTTTCTAGGGTATCATTTTATTTTTTCAACGATTCCTTTTTCTGGTTTTTTTTTTTTTTATAACTCTTTTCATTCGGGTATCCATGAGATCCGAAGTATGCACGGGTTTACGCGACATCCCTCATATCACTTCTACCTATAGCCTTTTCCACATTTTCTTTTAAAGGCTGAAGGGAAGAGAGAAGGAAGGAATCATACTTTGAAAAAGTGCAGTGTCTTGTGCGGCTCGAAGAAGAAGTCTAGTCCAATGTATTCCAACTCCCAAGGTAAGAGACTAAGTCCAATTAAGTCTTGATAAAAGTAGAGACAACGTTAGATCAACTGGATATCCAATGAATAAGGGCTTTCAGGCTTGTTGATACAGCTCATAGTCATTCCAAACTTCGGTTCTGAGATCAAGCATAATCAAGAGTCATAAGAGTGTTAATCCAAATCAGAGAAACCGTTAGACTGAGTTCATAGTTCCCAACAAAAATTTTGACTCAATAAAACACAAAAAATAAAAATAAAACTAAAAATTTGGATTGACTCGATAAAACTCCAAAATAATAAACAATGTTAGTAACTACCTCCCCCAGACTTAAACAACACTGTCCCCAGTGTTGCCAAGCCTAAGATTGGCAAATAAAAGAAAATAAAACTAAAATAAATGCAAAAGAAATAGAAAAAAAAAACTCACAAGTGGGTTGCCTCCCACTAAGCGCTTGTTTTTTTCAGTCATTAGCTTGACTTTGTCGGGGTTCATGCATCTGGTTGGTCAGAAAGCGGCACTAAATGCCTCCGAGAATAGTGTCTCATCATCCAAGGTGGTTTATAAGCATTAGGTGTAGGAGATCGACCAAGTACACGAGGAACAGCAGCAGGGCATAGTCTGAGTATGGGTGGGACACTTCTTCTACCTGCAACATCATCAAAAGAACCAACAAGCGCTCTACGATAATCTCGTGGCTTGGTTAACTGCAAAACAGTCTTTGTACCTTTGAAAGTCTTATTGATGATATGAGAAGGTTTGGGTAAAGAAGTTGCGTACCTTTGCTTTTCTCGAGATCTCTGGAGTATGGGTGGTGAAGCTTTCCGATTCAGAACATGGCTCAAGCTTGCAGTAGTAAGATCAACCCGAAAACCATCCATTTTTGGCAAGTTCAGACTGTCGTGGCGAGGGGTGTCGATCGACACCATGGTCATGTCGCTCGACACTGAGCCTGATGCTTGTGTTTCAGCGCTTTTTCTGCAATTTGTCTCAGCGATCCTCATCTCTAGCACAAAAACATCATCTTCCAATAACTTAGCAGTAGCTAGACCCCCGCTCTGGTCCCTAGTCCTAAACAAATGATTACTAGCAATAATGTCTTCTGAATACCCTACGACTGCCTTGTCATCCATGGCTTCCTCTACAGAAATGTATGGCCATCAATAGTAGGTGCTCTTCTCAACTGTTCCATGTCAAAGTTCATAACCAAATCACCAACATGCAGTCCAATCTTTCCTTTCTGAACATCTATAAGAGCACCAGCGGTAGCCAAGAAAGATCTCCCAAGGATAATAGGATCCTTAGGTTCTTTAGCATACTCAAGAACAACAAAATCAGCAGGAATCATGCATTCACCAACTCTTATCAAAACATCCTCTAAAATACCTTTGGGAATCCTTTTCGATCTATCAGCTAAGATAAGAGAGATCCTAGTCGGCTTGAAATCTGTCATCCCAAGTCTCACAGCAACAGAGTATGGTATCAAGTTGATACCAGAGCCAAGATCACAAAGAGAGTGAGGAAATCTTTCTGTGACGATAGAGCAGTCTAGCACGAAACTTCCTGGATCAGGTAACTTCTCCGGAATCCTGCTCTGAATCATGGCACTAACTTTTTTAGAAACAAACACTTTCTTCTTCTTTTCTTTCTTACTCTGTGGGGTCTGTTTCAAAAAGATAGCACCCATGTCTCTAGCCAGCAAAGCTCCTTCCTCAGGGCTCACTTCATTTTGGACCATCCTCTTAACACACCGCCTAAGCATAGGTGAATCACGATCTGCATGATCTAGAGGTATCTCAGTAACCACCTTTTCCATCATTGCCTTGCATCGAGCTTCTTCTATCTCCTGTTTAGACTTCCTAGGCTTTGGAAAAGGAATCTTAGGCTTGTAGATCTTTTCTGTAGATGGTCGGGAAGTTTCGGGAAAATCCGGTTGTGGCTGTGAGGGGTGTCGATCGACACTAGGAAGGTGTCGTTCGACACAGTGATCTGGTGTCGATAAGGTGGTCTCGATCGAAGTCGATATTGGTCCGCCGGGAGCCGAATCCACGAGAACTGGTGTTAGTGTCGATCGACACTTGCTGTGCAAGTGCAGTTTCATCATCTTCACTTGTTTCCTCCTCCCACACATTATCTCCATCTCTAATTAAAATGGCATTACACCCTTCTCGTTTCTTCACAGATCCAGTAGTCCGTGCAGCAAGAGTTTCTAACTTATTGGTATAAGTGCTCAGAGCTTCGATTTTGCCATTCAAATCAGTGTACATGGCATCCATCGTCCCGTTGAAGTCCACTTTCATGTTCTGCTGACCCGCTAAAATCTGTTTTAGCATGGACTTCATCTCAGTATCTGTAGATGGAGAGGGAGGTGAGTGGTAAGAAGAATTTCCATAGGTGCTGACGAAACTGCTGCTGCCTTTCTGACCATACCCATTGTTGTATCGGTTACCCTGTGTGTTACCAAACTTCTGACCTTGATACCCAGCACCATTGACGTAGTTCACGTCTTCTTTTTCATCCTCATATGATTCAAAAGCCTCAACCTCAGCGGCAACCTTAACACTCTTCTTAGTAACAAGAAGGTTATGCACTGAATCAAGCTTTGCCTTAACGTCAGCGAGTTGAACACCATCCATGTTTTGAGCTAGCTTCTTCCTCTCAAAATCAGCGACTTTAGTACTGTTGCTGGAATCTAAGTTCTCAATCAGTTTGGTGGCTTGAGCTGGAGACCTTGTGTTGTAGTTACCGTTACTTGCAGCATCTAAAGCCATATTATATCTCCAATCCAATCCTCTATAAAAGATTCCCAACAGCTGAAATTTGTCATAACCATGGTGTGGACAATCTCTCTGATAGCCCTTAAAACGCACCCAAGAAGCCTTGAAAGCCTCTGAGATCCCTTGAGAAAAGGTAGAAATCTTTTTCCGCAACTCCTCTGATCTCGCATCATCATAAAAGTTGTTTAAGAACTCAACTTTTACATCCTTCCAGCACGTAAGAGATCCGTGCTTCAACTCCTTCAGCCAAGATAGTGCTTCTCCAGCTAAAGAGTGCTGGAAAAGCTTGCAGAGCAGAAAATCCGAAGATACACCATCAGCCTTGATGCTAGATACCAGATCCTCAAACTTCTCAATATGATCCATTGGATGCTCATAAGTATGGCCATGGAACGGGTGTTGTCCTACAAGAGTGTAGTAACCAGGCTTCAACTCAAAGTTGTTCCTCTGAAATGCAGGAGGACGTATAGCAGAGCGGTTAGAATAAAACAGTGCAGGCCTGTTGTATTCTCCAAGTGTACGGTTTTCATGCTCTGCTTCAGCATGCAACGCTAACTGATTGTTATGTGCTGCGGCTTGGTGTCGATCGACACCCGCCTGGTGTCGCTCGACACCATCGGCGACTGGTTCAGGAATTACAGTCCCGTCAGCATTCAGCTTCTGCCCTTGTGCATTCCTCACATGGCCATCTCCATCTCTGAGAGTACCCTCAGCATCTTGAATTAGAATCACTGGTGGTGCCATTGCTGCCCTTTTCTTAGCTTTTCGAATTCCTCTTTCTAAACCCGCTATTTCTGAATTGTTGAGATCAACTAACTCTTTGTTCTGCTGGCTTCTGGTATTAGGCATAAACCTGAAACACCAAAAAGAAAAGAG